AGCTCTGAAAGTATTCGATGCAGTACCCGCCGGGGGAAGCAGAGGAAGAGGAAGACCTCCACTCCGTTGGAAGGACCAAGTGGAGAAGGACCTGGCTCCACTTGGAATATCTAATTGGCGCCACGTAGCGAAAAGAAGAAACGACTGGCGCGCTGTTGTTAACTCGGCTATAATCTCGTAAGCGGTGTTTACGCCAATCAAGAAGAAGGATAATTGTTTGTTACGAGCAAGTGTTTTTGATTCGTACAAATTACTTATAGAAAGTCGAGAACTTGGTGGCGACAAACCACGTCCAGGACGGCCATCAACATCAACTGATGATCAACAAGTCGACAAAATAAAGTAATTGGTGATTGATGATCGACGATTTACCGTGAAAGATCTTACTGGCATCGTTGGAATATCGGAAGGAAGGATGAAAATCATTATGAAAGATAATTTGGGCTTAAAAAAGTGAAAGCACGACTCGTCTTAACGTATGTGAAACAATGATTTCCGACTATCGGGATGTCATAAAATTATATTTATTATTATTAGTTATTATTATTAGCGATGAGTCTTGGATTTATGCTTATGACCCAGAAACAGACGATCAATTGGCCGAATATCGTTTCAAAGGTGAGTGAAGCCGAAAAACCAAGGTTATGTTGTCAGTTTTCATCGCATTCGCATTTAAGACTGTTCTATAGAAATTTTATGTTAAAAAGTATCCAAAAAAAGGGAATACAATTTTTTTGTCAAGTCGATGCCATTTGTGAATTTTCTATCTTTGGCAATGTCTATCCGATAACGACCTCTTTACTAATTAAGAATTTTTTAATATGTTTGTTTTCCTGTTTTTGTTAGGTTGAGATATATGTAATAATTTTACTTTAGCCTTTAAATACCCCTTAAAATTAAATAAATAGTTCCACTGGCTCCCATATATTCATTAATTTGTGAGTTATTTTAAGGCTAATATTTACATCCTATTAATGCGCCTAGTACGTAAATTGTTTTATATTTAGGAATTTGGCAATCCTAGTTTGCAATCTCACAACTTTATAATAAAGTTTGAAATTTTTTAATATGTACTCAGAACGTTTCGACATACGAGCGTTATTTGTGTTGTTTACAGCTACTTGAAATATTCATCTCTGCCAAAAAATGGAATTAAATCGTGAAAATTTTTTCATGAGTATTTTGTACAACTTTCGTCCATCGATGATCTTAATTTAACTTTTGGCGTTGAAGCTCCATCAAGGACCAGTGTTTATCGATAGTATGGTGAATTAGAGTAGTTGAACACTCCAAGACGAATGGGGATGTCGTCTGAAATCAGTTCTTGTTGCGGAAACTATTGATGCTGTGCGCAAACTGATACAGCAAGGTCGTCGGGTGACCTATCGTAATATTTAAACAACTATAGGCATGAGTGGAACTAACATACGTTCAATATTGCATTTGAATTTGATTGTAGAAAAAATAAAAAATAAAACACTTTTCACAACCATTAGTACTACAAGAACAATAGATTCTGTGTGGTCCGTAACCATTTGTTTCTCAGTTGCCTTTCAAGAAATCGGGAAAACCAAACATCGAAGACCGATTACTCTTCACCCCGACAACTCGAACTTTGACACATCTACTGAAATAACAACATTTTTGAGCACTCAATGAATGTCTTTACTCCCGTAAGAAAAAATAAACTAAGAGGAGAACATTTTTCGATACCTAAAGAGGCGGTTGGTTAATACATCAGTATAAGAGATACATCAATCAGAGTGACAAAGGTGCTTTGAGAATTGGTTCAAACGCATGGAAATATGTATAGATCTTAATGGAGAATGTTTTTAAAAATAATAAAGCAATTTAGTTGATTAAAGTTTGCTTTGGTTCTTTAATCCTCCAACCCACGTAATCTAGGTCTGAATTCAACAACTTAGTTTACTTATTCGTTACTTTTGTTTGTCTACAATGTTAATTTTTTAGCTAAGCAAAACACAACCTCACACAAATATCACACACTTGATAATAAAAAATAGATAAACGAGGGTACATACCTTGTTTTAAAGCTTCGTCTTTCCATTTGAAAAATCCACACGAAGCATCTCGCTTAGAACATGTATAAAATTCACGGGACTTGTTGGGACCCTCTTTGCGCACGATTAACCTAGCAGTAATAGATTTTCACTAATTTATCAAGTACTTAGTAGTATGTTTTCCAATATAATAAACATTTTTAGTTATTTGACCATATGTATAGTGGATTATTTTCTCTATACATACAACCCGATTCACTTTAATTCGAAACGCAAATTTCAAAGCATTTTTAACGAAATTAATAAAGGTGTACATATTTTACATTTTCCCAACATTTGTTCAAAATAGATCCGTTTTTGAAACCAAGCTAAAACGGAGCTTTTGCGATGTCTAAATGAATCTTAAAMACAAGCAATATCACACTTTTTTCAATAGCTAGAATTAGCAAGTAACGAAGGCCTAAGATCGGATGTAACCGAACACTTTATACTCTTGCAACTTACAAGGATCAAAACAGGGGAAATATTAAAAAGTTTTGTGAAAGAATTCAACATACACTAGTCAGAAAAAGTTTGCGTACAAAATTTCCAGCATATTTGTATAAACCAACCAGCTGTGGTGAAAGAGAAATAATTGTAAAATTATGGAAAGAAGGTAAAACTCTTCGCGAAATCGGTCAGACGGTGGGCAGAGCACACTCCTCGATTCAAAGAGTGATCGAAATGTACAATTCGATGGGTTCTACCTCCACAAACCTAGTTCAGGGCATCCCCCTAAACTAAGACACCGTGAAAAGCGCTACGTTCTTAAGGAATTGCAAAAAAATCCAAAGGTGAAGGCTTTAGATGTTGCCAGAGATATTAAAATAAGGTTCCAGAAAACAATTTGCAGTGACACTATATACAAAATTTTCAAAAAAGCCGGTTATCGGAGCCGAGTCGCACGAAAGAAGCCATTCATATCATTGACCAACAGGCTAAAACGAGTTGCATTTGCCAACGAGCACATTAATAAGCCGCCTGAGTTCTGGAAACGCGTTATTTTCTCAGAAGAAAGCAAGTTTTGTATATTTGGAATAAAAATTCGAAAGCTTGTTTGGAGAAAACCCGGAACTGCACTCAATAAGGAAAATCTCGCGGCGACCGTGAAACACGGTGGTGGTGGCGTGGTGGTGTGGGGGTGTATGTCCAGTAAAGGAGTGGGTAATATCCAGTTTACTGAGTCAACAATGGATAAAGAGTTTATTTGGACATTCTTAAGGCAAATTTAAAGCAAAGCGCAGTTAAATTGGGATTGGAAGACAGGTATTTGTTTCGGCAAGACAATGACCCCAAGCACACTGCAGAAATGGTTAAGCTATGGCTCCTCTACAATGTGCCCAAACAACTACATACGCCCCCTCAATCACCAGATCTCAACCCCATTGAGCACGTATGGAATTTATACGTCGAATCCGCCAACACCACATTTCTTCGAAGGAGATGCTAAAAAATGTTATCCTTGAGGAATGGAGCAAAATCACATCGGAGGAGACATCAAACCTCGTAAATTCAATGCCAAAACGACTAAGAGAGGCCCTACAACGCGAAGGGTATCCAACTCGTTACAAGAAACTGTCATTTTCATATAAAATACAGTTTTGTAATTTTTTTGTACGCAAACTTTTTATGAAGTCAATTTTGTCTATTTTTGTTTTCATTCTTGTTTTTAACCCTAATCTATATCCAACAATATTAAAATGTTATGTATACAAAAACTGAATTCCAACCTGTAAATAAAAAAGAAAATTTGTTCGAATTTTAAGTTATTTCTGGAAGTTTTTAAATAATTAGGAAGCACATGAGTCTTGTACGCAAACTTTTTCTGACTAGTGTACATTATTTGACGAAATCGTGTTAACTATTTGAAATACGAAAATTTGAAATGCAAATACAAAATACCTATTTTAATTTAATATTTGAAATACTTTTTTCTAAATTTATTTTGTATTTTATTTTAAAGATTCTATATAAATATTTAGTATTTATAAAATACAAAATAGTTTTGTTAAATTTTGAACTCATTTTTTATATTTTACATTCTTAAATCCAAGATTACCTTATTTACGAACGCATTGATCGTGACCGTAGTGTTGTCATTGTGAACTAGAACAGTAATCCAACATTACGGCCGATGCGAATTATGTTACAATGTAAGCCACCGTAATTATAACGCAAACAATAACAACGACGATGTAAACGCAACATAAATATACTGCATAGCCTATACGTGCTGCAATAACATACCAATCATAACACCTTTTTTGAAAGTGCGGTGGGGCCTTTTTCTATAAAACGACCATTATGGCCAGATTGGACATAGTTATTTTTGGGCATTTAAATTAAAACACCCAATATTTAGTACGAATAAAATTACTRTATAGAGGTTATTTATTATATGGAGAAACTATTTCAATCTTTTTAAAGTATATTATAACAATACCCAATAAAAGGATTTAAGCTTGTTAGCTCTCAATCATTCAATTTTTTTAATCATTTTCTATTGAAAATAATACTATGATGCTTCAAATTAAAAAACGTTTCATCAAATACCTTTAAGTTTCACAAATTTATTTAATTTTCATTGTTGAACATTTTTTATGTGGTCTTGAACGACGCAACATATCACTCCGTTTACATATTTTTTGGTAAGATTTCAATCTGGCCATCGCTCGTTTCCAATTGCTAAACGTCAAACCTCTTGAATTCGATCAAGTGTCAAAATTAAGGAGGTTTTGACGTTTAGCAATTGTTCTCTCTCTTCCAGTGAGAGAGGAGTTGGACATCTCTTCAATCGCTTCTATTTGCAACGACAATTTTGAAAAAGAAACAACAACAAATTTCCCGTATTAAACAAAATATTTTTTTGATTCTGAAGAATTTTTTTAATATTAAGAAGTAACTTGCGAGTCAGTAAGTAATACATTCCTTTTATAAATAATTTTTAACTAAGCATGAAGTAGTTAAGTACGTAGTCATTGTTATTACAACTAGAATAACTTAAATAAAATTTAACCGATATCGACCAACGTTATTGTTTAATTCCAAAGCGTATAATTTATTCAATTAACATAATTTTTTATAATAACAGTTAATATGCACGATAAGCGACAGACGTTGAGTTTACTCAATTTCTTTATTTTGTCAAGCGCCGTTCCTAATTTTTACGCTACCTCAAAAGAGAATACATATAAGGAACCCTCATAGGATAACTTTGTTTGTTTGTCCATCCGTCTACCTGTCAGCCTGTGTCCATTTTTATATGTATATTGTAGGTAAAGTACATAAGTGATATAAAGTCTCTTATTTTTTCAGGACAAGAACATTCCATTTATATCAAAACACTTTTTCAAAGACATTAGCTATGATTCTGGAAGTGACGTAAATATATCTGGAACTTGCAAACTAGGGGAAGTTTAAATTCTACAACCAACTTAAAGTTAAAAAAAACTTAAAACTTAAAGTTAAAAATTTAAATTGTATTTTATTTTGTTAAACAAATAATTTCGAATTCAAAACTGATTAGCTAGCTAACAAAAATTTAATAGTAAATAATATAATCGCAAATTTGTATGCTTTAAACCATTAATTAAAATTTTGCAGAAAAGTTGATATATTAGCAGACTATAAGAAATTCAAAATTCAACATACCAGTAGAGAAAAGATATTGGTGTTGCTGGCGAGGAATACAGTTCATCTAAAATATTGAAACAATCTACTCTTCGAGTCATCTTACCAGAGTCAGTTAATTTCGACAAGTTACTTGCGAATTTTTTAGTTAATACCATGTCTCCCATATCAATTGTAGAAAATTAATCCTTTAAGACTATAATTGAAGGTGCACAGCAATTAAGTGTTCCACCGAAAATAATGTGTAGGCAAACAAGTTATAAAAAAAATTACAGAACAATATACAGAATATATAGAAAATACAAAAGAACAATTGAGAAAGGTTGATTTTACATCCACCATAGCTGATATATAGTCATCATCAAAAAGAAGTTGTCTGGGCGTAACTGCTCATTGGATTGATTGTGATAAAAAAGTTTAAATAAAAAAAGTGTAAGTGTAGTGGCTTGTAGAAGATTTAAGGGAATACATAGTTATGATAATGTACCTGAGCTGATTGCAGAGATTCATTCTGAATTTGATTTGAAAATGTCAAAAATAAATACATAAAGACGGACAAAGGATCAAATATGCTCAAAGCTTTTAGAATATATGGACAAGATTAAGATATAGGAATAAGTGAAATAACGAACTCTTATTCAAAATATTGATATAATGCATGATAATATTGACGATGGAGATTAAGACAATTTCTGCAGTCATTTGGAGAATTTAAAGAGTTGCAACTGCCTAATCATGAAAGGTTTGCCACACACAGCTATGGCCAAATGTCAAGCAGTTTGAATCTCTGTTCGAGGTCTCATAAAGCCTGTGAAATTATCTAGAATCAATCCCCTACGTCTCTATGTCCAGCAAGATGGAATTCAAACTATAATTGCATTCACGATCTACTGGCAGTAAAGGGTACCCTAAATGAAACTTTAAAGAAACAAGGATTGGACATTGGCCATATGTAAGCTGTTCAAAGCTGATGACATCAGAAGTTTAGAAGGGGACAAAGATACTTACCATGGATGCCTTATACCTGACCTGATGAGAATGCAAAGAATTTTAAGAAGAATTTTAAGAATTTTAATTTAATTTAATTTTATCTTGAAAATGGATAATCTACATATAGTATTGATAGATGTTATTAAAGAAAGTCTTAATAGGCGTTTTGTAAGATTTCGTAAATTAGAGGAGCCAAAAGCAAGATATGGCATAATAGCATCAATCTTATCCCTTTTTAAAAATGAAATGAGTGCCAAAAGCTAACAGAGAATACATCAAAGATGTATTTGTTTCAGAAATGAGAAAGTCCAAGTCCAACAGACTGACTCTGATAAAAAGATGGAAAGAAAAGAATCTTATTATATGCTTGTTGAGGTCTCTGATTCTTCATCAGCCAGTAATAATGTTAATACTACTACAATAGATCTGAAAACACTACTATATTCAAAGGATGAAGGATCCTTGTACAGGT